AAAAAAAGACCTTGATCTACATCAGTAAAAGTCAGATCAGGTAAACACACTCAATAGGCGCTTTGCAGCTAAGCCCACACGTGACCTACTTTTCATAAAATTATGGGCTATAACGTAACGAATGCCAGAAATTGAAAAAGCATGTCGAAAAAATCAAAATGGTCAAGTTTGAGGCCCCATCATTAAAGAATGAGATTTTATGACGGTCTGAATTTTTGAAAATAATGAGAAGATTTGTATGGAAAAAGTTGTTGGAGAGCAAGGCCTTGCTCTCCAGCTACATTTTCCATACAAATCTTCTAAATTTTCCGAAAATTCAAAGTGTTGTATGAACTTACTCTTTAATTCCAGGGGCCTCAAACTTGGCAATTTTGGTATTTTCGACGCGGTCTTTCCATTTCTGGCATTCTTTAAGTTATAGCCCATAATATAAAAATTTTTTAGGAAAAATTTGGTGACGTGGCCCCAGCCTCAAAGGGCCTATTCAACACAACTAAGTGTATTAAGTAAACCTTTGCAGCTAATGCCGTTTCCTGAAGCAGAATAGGCCTTGAAAAAGAATTAACGCAACCGGTATCAAGCTCCAAGCCTGCATAAAATTCTTCCTTACCGTCTTTGACGTGTTATAAAAGGTAGGTGAAGTCTGCCCACGAGCCAAATGGCCCATCAGGCCGCAGCTTATCCCGGTTTCAGTAGCATAAAGTAACTAGGAATATTTCTACTCCCTCGTGGATGGGATGCTAATCCAGGTACAAATTCATGCACCTGGCTCCAGTTGTTCGAAAGGTGGACAATGCTATCCACCGGATAAATCGCTATCCAGCGGATAAATGTTAACAAAACAAAGCACGCTATCCTTTGGATAGTGATTTATCCGGTGGATAGCGTTATCCACCTTTCGAACCATTCGGGCCTGGGTGTTATGAGTCTAGATAACTACGGAAAAATAAGACATATTATCATTCGGTAAAATTAGAGAAACTATCTGATCCAACTACAAATATCTCACTTCTGAATACTGAAAGAGCATAGTAGGATTAACCATTCCAAGGAATAGAGTGTGTGCATTGTCACCCAAAATAAAATGAAAAACCATTCAGTGGATAAAGTCAAGAAATTGTGAGATATTATAGACCATAAATAAACAAAACAGTTCTCCAACTTTAAGGTGTGTGCGTTGTCCCAAAGTTGAGATATTCGCCAAAATGTTCCGGGCAAAATTACAGAGCCTAGTATAGAGCCGCCATGTTGGAGGACCTCCTCAGTCCTCCAACATGGCGCCCGGAAAATAGTGTAAACATCTGGAACTTACTTTGGTTATCTCGACAACTGATTATCTGAACCGAACCAAAAAAAATCACACAAGCACCTTTTCTTATACTTTAACTCCTGAAATGGCTAAAAATCACGAGATAAGTGTCTATTTTTCGCCAAACGCGATCTTAGCTTTATGTCACACAGCGTCATAACTCCGAAATTCAAAATGCGCTGGTTTCCAAACGAAGGACGCTATTAAGCTGGAAGGTTGTATACAGATATAAATTTAGTACCTCTTATACCTGATGAGGATAAAACCTTTAGGGGCTCTTTAGTTTTGGATTTGAGAATTTGATGACATCACGTGAACACACTCTGTTTGATCTCGATGAAACACTTTTTGTGCGAAGCGGATTTGATAACTCAAAATTTTAAATAGAATGTATGAGCTCATTAGCAGTTTTGCCACCCAGGTATTTGGCAGATTTTAAAAGCTAATAAATATCTCCTACAATATAACACCGCTAAACATTTCTCTATGTACCCTGTGTCACTAGCTCTTTGACTGCTTGGAATGAACTTGTATCTAGCTGAGTGATACCTTCACTACGCAAAATCGTATGCTAACGAGGCAACGACGATCGCCCTGTGATGTACCGGCAGATGCTTAAATATGAAATATGAAGAGCACTTTAAACGATATTTCAAGGACATTTTGTGTGAATTCTTTGCCTTATTACGTGCTGTACAAGAAATATTCGAGTTTGCTTAAAAGGAGTGGTATTGCTATATACAATTAAAAGGCAGTTATCATGACAAGCTTTTGCGTTTTACAGCAGTGAAATCAAGCTTTCAATGGGTTAGTTTTTACAGTCTTGGTAAAGTCCATCGCTGGGGAACACCGCAAACGATTTAGTTACGTTCACATGTCAAGCATTGAGCTTTCTGTTTTTTTTTTTGTATATAAAAAAAACTCTTCGATTGGTTTTCATGATAAACACTAGGTTTGGTAAAATATTCATGAGAGAATAAAGTCACCTTAAGCTGCAGTTCGCCAATCGTCTTCAAACTCAATGTGTTGAAAGACAAATTAACCTCCCACTACCAGCAGCTACATATGCTAATAATTAGTTGTTTTGGAATATTGAAATCCGTTTATATCGCAAGCAAGATTTTCCCAACTGCGTTTTGCCATTTGAGGCAGAAACTCAATAGAATCATTACACAATGTTAAGGTAAAGACCTTGCATGTTAACGTTCCGGCGATTTTTCTTTTATTAAATTTGGGGCTAAAACACGTGCAAAGCCAGCGTCTTATTAAGAGAGCCGGTAAGTTGTTTCCTTGTCAGATAGTTTTCGCACACCCGTGACTAGTTACTGTGTCAGTCTTGATGTCATATCGCAAGGTTCTGCTAGATGTTAACAACTTCGATGTATTATTAGTGAAATAACCATGATAACATGAAGAGTTTAGAAGAACAGGAGTAACATGTTTTAGCGGCTTAGTGCAGCTGGGAGAAGGTTGAACTGAATCATGTTGGAAGCCAAGGTTATAATGTTCATCCATTATATTCATAAAATCAACCAGCCCCCCCCCAAAAAAGACATCTCAGCCATAAAATAAACAAATTTTTTACTTCTCAAACATTGATGTGTAGTTTCGTCATCAATAGAACTTCAAATTATTCAAATTTTTCACCACAGCCAAAGCAATCTTCCTAAAAATGTTTATTTTGCAGGTGAAACAAACAGAGGTGACAACTCAACAAAATGAACGCATCTATAGACAGCAGCGACCAATCAGAGACAGCCGTTCATCCCGATACTGAACACATCTTCGCAGCTCTTTTAGGAGGCCTTCTGGTAATTTGCACGTTAATTGGAAATTCTCTTGTCTGTATCAATTTTTACTTGTTTGAGGAACTCCGAACAGTCTGCCATTACTTTGTTGTCAGTCTCAGTGCGGCCGATATATTGGTTGCCATGGTAGCGATGCCCTTCTGGTGCGCCTTACAGGTGACATCAAATCGCTGGATGTTTAGTCAGCAGCTGCGAACGTTCTGGAACTGTATGGACATTCTGTGTGGGACCGCTTCAATTATGAACCTCACCGCTGTTTCAGTTGACCGACATGCTGCTATCACAGATCCTTTTTCGTACCCTAATGTTATGACTTCTGTGCGAGCTGTTATTATGATTATTTTTGTTTGGTTATACGCCATATTAGTCTCGGGGCTACGATTAGCAAGCTGGCCCACTAAACAAGGCTATATGCATTTCATCGCTTGCGCTAGCTTCTTCCTCCCTCTGACAATAATGATCATCATGTACACAAGGATCTATCTCGTTGCTAAACAACAAGTACATCGCTTGCGGACGGGCCTGAGCTACGCAAAGGACGTTAAAGCGGCCAAGACTATCGCCATTTTGATTGGTCTGTTCGTGTTCTGCTGGGGGCCATTTTTTGCTATCATTCTTTGCTACGCTTATGATCAGTCATGCCCAGTGCCTGGCTCGTTATTAAACGTAATCAAGTGGATGGAGTACACGAGTTCATGCCTTAATCCTATTATTTACAGTTGCCTCAATCGAAGCTATAGAAAGGCGTTTCGTAAACTTTACAAACTTTTCCGAAGCCGACAAAGAGCCGAGTCTTCTAGTAGCACAGCCGGGTCTCGGTCAAAAACTGAAGGTTCGTTCAGTGAAAGCATCGTGCCGACCACCGGCAGTGGCCTGGATCAAAGACGATGGCGAAGTAATTCGATCGTTCGAGACTGCGTAAGGCCCAAGGAATCACGAATTTAGTACGCAATCCCCTCCTTGGATAAATGATTTATATACAGTAAAAGGTCATCGCAGTCATGCAATGCAACTTAGAGAGTTATGAGAATAATGCGTGAAACTCTGGCTTTAACACGGGATTCGCCTCTGCAATACGTGCAGTACTCTACCAACTGGGTTACTAAACTGTTTTATTGACTAACTGACAAACCCTCAGTCCTCCCAAGAATGCCCAGCGATTTGTAAGTTGTAAGCTTTAGGGGCTTATAGTTCAAAAACGGCAAGGTAAAATTTTTTTATATCGTCAAATTTTGATAAACAGGATATATAAGACGCAACTTTTGGCAAAGTTTAAAAATGTTCTGTACATAGCAATAAGGAAGTTAAATTCAGTGAAGCCGACATAAAATCGTTCACTAAGGAACACGAAAATGCTAAAATGACAAAACGAACAAAGAAAATTCATGTGGCTAAAACTATTCAAGGAGTTTCTTTAAAGTAAACCAAAAGAACGATGTTCAAGATATTCCTGCCGGCCACCGTGCTGCGTTTCACATACGGTTTATTCTTCTGATTAGTTTCTTTAGTTTTTGTCTGTATAATAAAAAGAACATTCCACTTGTTCTCCGCGCTCACTCGTGAGATATTGAATTTGCCACGAGAACGTAAAATTCATATCTTCTCGCCATCGTGGAATGTCCTCTATCGATGCTTTAAATTACAAAAAAGTCTTGACAAGAGAACTTAGACGTCAGTGGTTGAAATCATTTTACGGTTTTTACTCTTACGACAGCGGTAATAATTTTCCAATATATTACGCCTAACGGCTAACTTTTTGGCCTAGGCCTATTTTATGGCTAACGGTTAGCCTCATTGAGAGCCACTGTAAGTAATCTATGTTTGAAGCGTACTATCAACAAGTAATCGAATGATATTCTCGTCCAATTTGGAATAAGTGAATACTACAAATGGCACTCCTCGCCCTACGGGCTCGGGGAATTTTTCAGCCTTTAAAATATTTACTCGTGCTTATTTATCCCAAATTGCACTCGAAATCATGTGATTACCTATACTAATTACTGAAGAGTGTGAACGCAGATTGCAATTCACCCTCACTAAAAACGGTCTTACAAACCCAACAAGAAGGACAAATTACGAAATGGGCTGATAGGGTTCATGTGAACTCTGTGGCACACCTCTCGATCACGAGTCTTGGCTGCCCATGGATTTCTCTTTACGCGTGGCTTTCTTGTTTGCTTTTCACTCTGTGCTATCACCAAACGAGTATATAACTCGGCTCTGTAATCTGAAATAGTCATAAAAGATATATTTCACGAAATTAAGGATTTCTTATGGCTTGTGACGTTTTCTTTTTTGTCATACGGGACATTGCTTTATCGGCTCTTTATCGGCGATGCGAGCTTGCTTTCGCTGACGGTCACAACAAGGAAAGAGGCTTTCCCTCATTTTTTGCAGGGATAGTACTTTATAATTACGTTGGTAATTTGTGAGCTTTCTACGCTTCACATGGAAACATGCTGAAACGGCCACATATGAGCCCAAAGGATTCCCAAAAGGGACTATCTTGTCAGTTACTGACCAGCAAGCACAGCTCCGCCAAAGCAACAAGCACGCTTGAATATAAATAGTGATTATTAGAGTTTTGGATCTCTTTGTCCATGTATTAGAGAGCCGGATATTACTACTCATGTTTTTGCACCAACTATTATTGAGGATTGAAAATTGTTAAGCCCCGGCCAAACGATCGCAACATGTCAACGCAACATATCGCAACATTGTTGGGCGCAACATTTTGCGTGCTTTTGGCCACCGTGTTGCGACATGTTGCGACATGCTGGGTGTTGTTGGCTCAAATTTGACCATTTTCAAACTTGAGCCAACAACACCCAACATGTCGCAACATGTCGCAACACGGTGGCCAAACACACGCAACATGTTGCGCCCAACAATGTTGCGATATGTTGCGTTGACATTTTGCGATCGTTTGGCCGGGGCTTTAGGCAGTTATAATGCTCAAGGGAATCAATTGATTAAGATTTGCAGCAGAACCGTTTTGGTGCAAATAACATCTAACTTTTTGTTGAATTACTCCATGACAAAACTTTACCTGAAAACCTTTTTCCAGCTATTGTTCGCGTCTCTTTGAACACGTGACCGCATTGACAAGACAATTCCCATGAATCAGGCATCTGTTGAAACATATAGCCAAGAAAACCAACAACAATTAGATAACCTTCAAACATGGATCAAAGACGGGAGGTCCGTGTAAGAAAGTGTATATATATGGGTTATTGACCAAAGGTTACTGGTCAAGATGGCTGGATATTGGTCAAGTTCTTTTTTGCGAGTTTCTGGACCGGGACGGAGTCGAGGTCCATAAATTTGCAAAAAATGAACGAGGCCAATATCCAGCCATCTTGACCGAACAAGCTTGGTTAATAAAGGATTTACGAGGAAATTTTTTCCTGCGGAACACGGCGGGTAGTTCCGAGCGGGCAAGATAGCTCCATCTTGCCCTCTCGGGTAGCCAATCACAGCGCCGGAGTTGATTCATCTTGCCAGCTCACGGAACTAGCCATATAATAAAACGGTTTACAGACCTTTGGTACCACTGGTTTATATCAGGGACCTCCTGGCCGGCATGGTTGTGGCCAAAAAATACATCTATTTTCTGTGCACAACGGAGCGATTACTGTAATTTGTATACTTCAGTAAAAAGGTACAACTCAGTGATTACTCTCTACCGGGGTACTCTCTACCTCTCTTTCAGCTCTCGTTTTAAAAAGAGCTTGAGGAAATAAGCTCGGGTAGACGACGGAGAAAGAGAAATTCGTCTCCGACTTCCTTTTGACGAATGATAGCATAGCTAGAATGAGTTATGGCAGTTAGCTAGAGCAGAAATGTTTCACTCGCTCGGTCAGTTAGTCACTAGGTCGTAAACAATTTTTTTGGTGGCAACTTCGCTGACCAGAGTGTTTCGCCAGAGGGCCGACCATTGTGAACAGAATGGCTGCCAAAGCAGTGAACTGATCTTTCGTGTATGGTGTCGAAGAAGTGCTCCCAAACTAAAGACTATTTGATATACAACGAAGGTGGGTGTATAATTCGATCCATCGACCTCTTTTAACCGAAACTTTTACGCTCGAGAAGTGCTTTTCCTCCGTGAATTATTTTAAATTTCCTTATCGTCTCACTTTCTTTTACAATTACATTACTTTATGGCTTGAACATTTTTATTTTCCAGTACTTTTATAAACTCAAAGCATCCACTAGTAGTTCGAAGGGGAATCAAGGCTCCCTGAGCCAGCTTATGGATGAATAGTTGATTTTTGCCTCTGTGACAAAACGAATCTTTGTGCAAAACTATTCATATGAAAATGCATGTCACCTGTATGTTCATTCCCTTGAAAATCAAGTTATTATAACGTGAAATGTTTTGCACAAGCATTCGTTCTAAAAAAGAGGCAAACAGCAACTCAGAAGTGGAAGTAAAGTCCGCATTTGAGCTAAGTGGCCCATCAGGTCGGCACTTATCCCAGTTTCTCTAGCATGAAGCAACTACGAGGGTTACCCTGCAATATTAAATTTGCAATGCTTACTTATACACCTGAGTAGCAGAGGCACTGTGAGAGTTAAGTGTCTTGCTCAAGAACACAATACAATGTTCCCAGCCAAGGCTCGAGGCCAGACTGCTCGAAATAGGAAAGAAATGCAAAAATCAAATAACAGGTTGTTTACACAGACAGCTTATAAATTTTAAAATAGATAATAATTAATTTTGATTGGAATTAGAATATTGTTATCATATTAACTTGTACATGATGTAGTGTCAAAGAATAACAACAGTCTCTTTCAAAATGAAATCATGAAATGAGAGTTCACCATATTTACCAGTCAGTCCAAAATTGAGAATATAATTATGTATATGAGTCAGCAGTACACTTAGGGTCAAGGTAAATTGGTTATGGTCCTTGTTCAGTTAACATTATGAAACAGCTGTATAACAATGATTACTATTATGCAAAAATTACAATCCATGATTTTGAAATTTATTTTAGACAATCAACTTGAGAATGCGAGGACTACCAAGATTATTTTGCCCAATTTCACTTAAGTGAGACATGGATATTGGCAAAATCTTGTTTACTTTAAGCTACGTCAAACATAAACAATTTGATTGTAGTTTGTGGGTAAACAGGAAATCTATAGAAAAAAGTGTTTCCTTCAATATTATAAGAATGATTTCAGACAGTTTTGTTTCAATCATGAACCTGAAGTGAAGGGAATGTTTTTATTTACAATTTATAAGGGTTTTTTTTTTTTATAGAACTATGTCTATATGGAGAGGACGAAGGGAAGTAACAGTTTTATCCAAGGAGGCTCTGGTCCAAGGTCAAAGACCTATCCATTTAACAGTGTTCTTGACAGGAAAGGCTTTCCTTTCA